TTTTTTTTTTTTTTTTAAATAGAGAGAGGGTCTCGCTAGGTTGCCCACTTTGCGGGGCTGAGGTGGGTGGATTAATTGAGCCCCTGGTCTCAAATTCCTGGGCTCAATTAATCCACCCAACTCAGACCCCCAAAGTGCTGGGATTACAGGTGTGAGCAACTGCACCCAACCTCCGAACTCTAAAACATCATACCCCATGGGAATACCCTCCTCACTTCTCAGATGCAGTGGATTTTTAAGGCTTGCTTCTTCCTCAGAAAGCTCCAAGTCTTGCCATCCTCAGACACTGCCTGCGGCATCCCCACAGTACTGCCTGGCATACTGGCCCGTCAAAGCTTTGGTACATACTTGAAGCGGACCTTCTCCTCCATGTCCAGGGGTGGATCTTGTGTGATGAGGCTCACCAGCTCCTCCATGCACTGCTGCCTGCACAGGAAGTCCAGCAGCTTCTGGTTCTGAGCCTTACACTCCTGCAAGATGTCATCTTCATCCATTAACTCCTGCAGCGTCACATGCTCCTTGTCCAGCAGCTTGTCAACATGGGACGTGGTATTCAAGTCAAACTTCCAGAACATCGTGATGGCCACGGAGCTGCAAGTGAGGGCAAAGGGGTCATTTCTCACCTCTGCAAATCCACCCTCAGCAATACTAGACCCCAGTCCCAGAAGTCCAGCCCCAGCATGAACACACAAGATTCCCAGAGCACAGGATGGTGGTAGCTCTCCCCAGTAACCATTCTCATCAGGCCTCTCCAGGTTGGAGTCACAAAGTTAGCACAGTCTTCCCAGGTACTCAGCAGCTCTGAGGCTGCATCCCCAAGCTCCAGGACCTGCCTCTCCAGGTTCTCTTCTAGGCTGACCCCTTCTCCCTTGCCCTCCTTCCCCGCACTGTCCTCCATCCACCAGAGTGCTCCATACGCCCCTCAATGCTCTTGCTTGCTCTGCAGTTGTTGGGCAAAAGCATCCAGGTGTCTCCTGTGTCTCAGGGATGTCTTCCATCCTGAGTGAACACTGGACATCTCCCCGCTGAAAGTCACACGTTTGTTTGTGAGCAAATTCAGTAAGTCAAACTCAAGACAGCTGATGCTGCTTGACCCTGCACTCACTCCTCTGCCAGCCCCCTGCCCCTCCACTCATTGTCCCCATCTTGTGGAATCACACTCAGGGTTATCTCTGAAGCAGGCACCTCCTCCCACATACACCAACTAGGCACAAGGTCTTGCCACAGCCACCTGAGGAATCACCAATCCAGCCCCTCCTCTGCTTCCCAAACATCCCAGCTCTGGCTGGCTTTGCCTGGACACAAGAGGTTTTTCCTCCCTAGGGCCTCACATGTCACTCCATGAGCCAGGGCTGGTCAGCAACAAAGTTTTCACTACTGTGATACAGAAAACATAAAGCCTACATCTTTAACAAAGTTCAAACTTTATTGTGAGATTATCTTTTCAATGTTACATGAAACAGTATTTTAAAAATTACAGTAAAAGTAGATGGAATTTATCTTACCTAATATTTTTACTTAGAAAAAGAAAAGGTTGACCACAAATATAAATGCCCAGGTGTGTCTGTCCGTAAAGCCTGTGCTGCCCTAGGACCCGACATGGGAGCCTCTGCCATCCAGTCATATTCCCACAGCCTCTGGTTTGCGCTGTTTCATTTATTTTTTTTCAAGTAGTGCCCATGTAATCCACACCCACAGTCTGTGCTGTTTCAAACTCGACGTGTGCACATCCTCTCATCTCAGCTTCAAAACTTCTCCTGGCCCCAGAGGCCTACTAGGCTGCTTTCTACAGCATGCCTCCAGGTCCTCTGGGCATCTCCTAGGTACTCCTGGACTCCACCGCACTACAAAGGCACTGAACTTTTCTTCCCACACAAACTGCACTTTCCTACTTGTATACTTCTGTACAGGCTCCCCAGCTGCAGCTAAGGGTGAGGCCCTGCAGCCCCCAACCTATACACACCACTCCAGTGGGCACTTCTCATGGACTTAGATATGAAGGGCCCAGAGGTGGAGCTCTTAAGACCCCAAAATGGGACTGCTTTGACTTTCAGCACAAGGGACTTCATATATATACTGACACTACATTCAGTTTTGATTTTGGGGTGGGGAAGTTTCACATACATATATATATATATATATGTTTGTTTGTTTTTTTTGTAGAGACAGGAATTCACTATGTTGCCCGACTGCTGAGCTCAAGTGCTCTGCCTGCCTTGGCTTCCCAAAATGCTAGGATTATACGCACTGAGCCACGAAGCCTGGCCTGCATTCAGTTTTCCTTCTGAGTCTTAAGATCTTCCTTATGCTTCTTGTAAGGGGAATGGATACTTATGAGGGGTAGCAGCAAACTGCAGAGGACCAGAAACAATGACTCCTAAAAGCACCTTCAGGAAGAGACAGCTGCCTCCACACACATACTGGATGCCCCTCTCTCCTAAATGCACTACCATGTCTCACGTGCTGGGTGACACACAATCCAGAGAAAGAACTGCATCCCACCTTGCCAATGCTTTTCTTTTTTTCCCCAAAATCAGAACTTGCAAGGCAGGACAGTTAGAGGCGCCTTTTGGGCAGTTCTGTTTCTAGCCACAGAATGGTAGAAGGCTGGGTGGATCACAAGAGACCATCAACCAAATAGGTCTTAAACTTTTCTAGCAGAATCATTTAAAACGACTGGATTAATCCAAAAGATCAAAAATAAAAATAAAAGGAGATAAGCAACAAAAACAGATGGGATAGAATAAAAATAGCAAGATACCAGACACAAATTCAACCATTTCAGTAAGTGCATTAAATGCAAATAATCATTTCAATTAAAGACAAACATTGTCAGACTGGATTTTATTTTTAGAGATAGTGTTTTGCCATGCTGCCCAGGCTGGAGTGCAGTCCAACCATCAGCTCACTGTGGGCTCAAGCAGTCCTCCCATCTCAGCCTCCTAAGTAGCTAGGAGTACAGCCAAGCACCACCATGACCAGCTAATGTTTAAATATTTTGTAGAGATGGGGTCACACTATGTTGCCCAGGCTGGTCTCGAACTCTTGGCCTCAACTGCCTTGGCCTCTCAAAGTGTCAGGATTACAGATGTGAGCCACTGCATCCAGCCTGAATTTGTTTTTTTTTGAGACAGTCTCACCATGTCACCCAGGCTGAAGTGCAATGGCTCGATCTCAGCTCACTGCAACCTCCACCTCCTGGGTTCAAGCGATTCCCCTGCCTCAGCCTCCCGAGTAGCTGGGATTACAGGCATGTGCTACCACGTCCAGCTAATTTTTCTGTATCCTTAGTAGAGATGGGGTTTCACCATGTTGGTCACGGGGGTCTCGAACTCCTGATCTTGTGATCCGTCTGCTTCAGCCTCCCAAAGTGCTGGGATTACAGGTGTGAGCCACCACACCTGACCCTAAATTTTTTTTTTTTTTTTTTTTTTGAGACAGAGTTTCGCTCTTGTTACCCTGGCTGGAGTGCAATGGCGCGATCTCGGCTCACCGCAACCTCCGCCTCCTGGGTTCAGGCAATTCTCCTGCCTCAGCCTCCTGAGTAGCTGGGATTACAGGCACGCGCCACCATACCCAGCTCATTTTTTGTAGTTTTAGTAGAGACGGGGTTTCACCATGTTGACCAGGATGGTCTCGATCTCTTGACCTCGTGATCCACCCGCCTCGGCCTCCCAAAGTGCTGGGATTACAGGCTTGAGCCACCGCGCCCGGCGACCCTAAATTTTTTTTTGAGACAGTTTCACTCTTGTTGCCCAGGCTGGAGTGCAATGGTGCAACCGCAGCTCACTGCAACCTCTGCCTGTCAGGTTCAAGCGATTCTCTTGCCTCAGCCTCCCAAGTAGCTAGGATTACAGGCATGTGCCACCACACCCGGCTAATTTTTTGTATTTAGTAGAGACGGGGTTTCACCATGTTGGTCAGGCTGGTCTTGAACTCCTGACCTCGTGATCCGTCCGCCTCGGCCTCCCAAAGTTCTGTGATTACATGTGTGAACCACCACACCTGGCCTGTTATGTCTTGATTAATTATTTGATCATTTTGAAATGTCCTTCATTGTCTCTGGCAATATACCTTGTTTTGAAGTCTGCTGTGCCTGAAATTCACATGGTACATCCTTCTTATGATTCATGTTTGGTGTATCCTTTAACATCCTTTTACTTTCAACCTACTTGTTGAAATGTTTAAAATGTTTCTCTTGAGAAACAGCATATGGGCCAGGCGTGGAGGCTCATGCCTATAATCCCAGCACTTTGGTAGGCTGAGGTGGGTGGATCACCTGAGGTCTCAGAGTTTGAGATCAACTTGACCAACATAATGAAATCCGGACTCTACTAAAAATACAAAAATTAGCCAGGTGTGTTGGCAGGCGCCTGTAATCCCAGCTCCTGGGGAGGCTGAAGCAGGAGAATTGCCTGAACCCGGGAGGTGGAGGTTGTAGTGCACCAAGATAGCACCACTGCACTCCAGCCTGGGTGACAGTGTGATTCCATCTCAAAAAAGAAAAAAGAAAAAAATCTCTGTATAACAAGAACATGTCTATGTTTCTGTCAATTCTCCCCACATTCTAAGAAACACTCAAAAATGATCACATCAAGCTGGCATGGTGGCTAACACCTGTAATCCCAGCACTCTGCAGGTCCAAGACAGGCAGATCACTTGAGGTCAGGAGTTTGAGACCAGCCTAGCCAAACCCATCTCTACTAAAAATACAAAAATTAGCCAGGCATGGTGGCACACACCTGCAATCCCAACTACTCAGACGGGTGAGGAAGGAGAATCACTGGAACCCAGGAGGTGGAGGCTGCAGTGAGCAGAGATCTTGCCACTGCACTCGGGACTGGGTAATAGAGCGAGACTCCATCTCAAAAAAAAAAAAAAAAAAAAAAAAAAAAAAAAAAAAAAAAAAAAAAAAAAAAAAAAAAAAAAAAAAAAAAAAAAAAAAAAAAAAAATAAAAAAAAAAAAAAAAAAAAAAAAAAAATTCACATCAGAGGCATCCTTTAAGAGTTCACTGCAATGGCACTGGTTTAGTTACAGCTAATTTCACTGTCAAAGAAACCGGTATAAACTGACTCCAGAACATTTACTCAGATAATATTGCACATTTTTCTCCTCCATAGAGACACTAGCATCTTCCTGGTTAGCCCCTACCTACAGGGAAGGCCTTACTTAAATTTCCTTCCCTAAATGACCTCAAGGTCAGTACGGGCAGTATCTTCAGAACAAACAACTGGTTCACGGCCCAGCTTGTTGATTTAAGATATTTCTGGTTACACCTGGAGTATCCACCGAGCATAAGGGCTGCTCTCACAACCTGACACCCCATCCTCAGGGGTCCATCTGGGATGTCAAGCACAGTATATGCAACCTCTTCTAGATGCTTACCCAATGCTAAATGAAAGGACCTTGAAGTTCAGCTTCTTCACTTTTTTCAGGATGGCATATCCATCAAACAGAAGGTAGATCTCAAACAGAAGTGTTGCCCATATGATCATATGGTTCCATGAAAGAGCCCTTTAAAAAAGAACATTCTGTGATAGAGACTGTTGCTAAGAGAAAATTAGAATCTGAAATGCCCTATTACCTGTCTGGCCACAAACGTGTTTTGTTTTTTTAAAATTTATGGATATTTTTGAGGCAGGGCTCTGCTCTGTGAGCCAGGCTGGAGTACAGAGGCCTGAACACAGTCACTGCAGCCTTGAATTCCTGGGCTCAAGCAATCCTCCCGCCTCAGCCTCCCAAAGTGCTGAGATTTTAGGCATAAGCCACCTTGTCCAGCATTTTGGCTTTTTTTTTTTTTTTATTAAGATAGGGTCTCGCTCTGTTACCAAGGCTAGAGTACAGTGGTGGGATTCTGGCAGACTGCAGCCTGAACCTCCCAGGCTTCAGTGATCCTCCCACTTCAGCCCCCCAAGCTGGGAGTATAGGCACGCCCCACCACACCCAGCTTATTTTTGCCCAGGCTGGTCTCGAACACCTGGGCTCAAGCAATCCCACACCTGCCTCAGCCTCCCAAGATGCTGGGATTATAGCATGAGCCACTGGCGCCCAGCCACCATTTTTTTCTTTTAAAGATTATGATCAAAGACCTAGCTCTGGGGTGTGACCTGAGGCCAGTTCCATGATCTCTCATGCCTTGATTTCCTCACCTAAAAATGCAGCAATAAACAGCCCCTGTGGTGAGGATTACTGAGTTACTCCACATAAAGGATCTAGCACAGTTCCCAGCGAATTTCATCATCAGGACCCTCAGTGTAAAGAGATGGAGACAGCGATAAGTCACCGTGCTCACAGAGGCCACGCTCTGTGATGGCAACCAGTGCCCGCATACCTCTCTTCCCTCTTCCACCTTCAGGGCATCACACTGGCAGCTCAACTCGAATGTGGTGGGAGTATTAACACCATGGAAATCAGCAAGTGTTACAAACCAGGAGGTTTTATCCTCCCCCAGAAAGCCTGTTGTTAAACATTTACCAACATACCACTGGACAGGCTGAATGCTTGATTTCCATTTGGCCTGAAAAGAAACACCAATGTGACCCCATGAAGCACAAGGAATATTTTTACAATCAAGGAACAAACAAGACTATGTCTATCCTGGGCATAGTCCACTGGGAAAAAGACCAGGAAAAAAAGTCTAACTTTAAAAAGCGGGTGGAGTGGGGCAAACAGGTTAAGTAAAAATCCAAAATCAGAGTGAAAAGAAGCCAGGCACAGCTCACGCTTGTAATCCCAACAATTCAGAAGGCCAAGGTAGGAGGTTCGCTGGAGCCCAGGAGTTCAGGACAAACCTGGGCAACATAGTGAGACTCCATCTCTACAAAAACAATTTTTTTTTAATTAGCTGGGCATGGTAGTGTGTGCCTAGTCTCAGCTACCTGGGAGGCTGAGACAGGAAGATCACTTGAGCCCAGGAGGTTGAGACTGCAGTGAGCTACGATCATACTCTTTCACTCCAGCCTCGGTGACAGAGAAAGACCCTGTCTCAAAAATAAATTACAGGTATTGCTCGACTTACGACCTATGCAACTTAGGACCATCCGACTTTACGACCACAATCGCTAGCCACGACTGCTCCGCGTCTGGCAGCGCAAACGTTGCCCAGCTGGGCATACGACAGTGCGGACCAGCTTCCGGCAGCACTACCGTCTCCGCGTGCACCATTTCAACTGTTATCCCAGACTCAGTACAGCAATTTGTGTTTTGTGTCCTGGATATTTTTCATCAAACCCCTCCCAATAAACTTCTTATACATTTTGAAGCAATGGACCCAAACATCGAACGATTTGCAAGGATTCAACGGATGGCGAACGATGTGTTTCGTCCATATCGTGAAATTTATGAAGAAAAAAAGAAACACAATTCAGACAAAGCTCATCATGTTTATGAAAAAACCAACTCCGGTAACCCCAACTGCTGCCTCAGATGACGACATCAACGATCTGCAGCCAAGCACCAGCGGCCAATAAAATGTTTCGTACATGTTTATATATTTTGATATGTTTTGCAATTGGGAAAATGTTTCCTACGGTATTTTTTACACCTGTATTTTGTATTTTTTTTTTTTTTTGAGACGGAGTTTCACTCATGTTACCCAGGCTGGAGTGCAATGGCGCGATCTCGGCTCACTGCAACCTCCGCCTCCTGGGTTCAGGCAATTCTCCTGCCTCAGCCTCCTGAGTAGCTGGGATTACAGGCACGCACCACCATGCCCAGCTAATTTTTTGTAGTTTTAGTAGAGACGGGGTTTCACCGTGTTGACCAGGATGGTCTCGATCTCTTGACCTCGTGATCCACCCGCCTCGGCCTACCAAAGTGCTGGGATTACAGGCTTGAGCCACTGCGCCTGGCTGTATTTTGTATTTTTGTATGCATCTGTATTTTGTAATTTTGTATGTTTTGCAAATATTAAACCAGTTGTACTGGTAATGCAGTGTTTTACTTAAACCTGACGAATGTAAAAATAAGAAACAAAATGGTGTAGAGATGATACAAATGGCATAAAATGAACAGAGAAAATTATGATATATAACAATAATGAAAGAAAATTATGATAAAATATGACTTAAAGATTTTTATAACATCATTTCACAGTACTGTACATATAGCCTACTCAACTTACGACCAAATCGTGTTACGACCGGTCTGTTGGAACCAATCGTGGTCGTAAGTCGAGCACTAGCTGTATTTTAATACATAAGTAAAGTTCTCAAAGGCTATTTCTTCCCAAAAACAGTTGTAAGGTACCACAGAAGAGCAGGGCAGATAGGAAGAGAGGCCCTGGATCCACACTCTCCACCTGGGAATCCGGGCAGGTGTGGGAGAAACTTTTCTGGTCCCGTTTCCAGTCTCCCTTTCTTCAACAGGGCAGAGGTCAGCTGGGTACATGGCCACCCTCCCAAGCCTAACTTTTCTAGCCTTCCTTACAGCCAGTGTCATCATATGACTGGTCACTGGGATGGGAGTAGAAGTGACACTGGAACCTCCAGCTCTTACTGTGTGACCCTCCTTGGTTCTAATTCTTCTGCCTAGTGGGAAACCAAGAACCATAAAGACCCTTCTAGATCCATGAGTGGAAGCCACAAGCTGAAGAAGGCCACCTACCAGACAGACTGTTAAGATGAGAAAGACATGTGCTTGCACCTTGCTCAAGCCATTGTTCTTTGGGACCTAGTTGTTGCAGAAGCTCAGTTTGTGCCTTGCTACAATTTGAGCAAGCTTTTTTATCACCCTGAGTCTATGGCTTGAATATATAACCCCTTCCAAAACTCATGTGAAAACCTAATCCCCAGCGGGGCGTGGCAGCTCACATCTGCAATCCCAGTACTGTGGGAGGCCAAGGTGAGTGGATCACCTGAGGTCAGGAGTTTGAGACTAGCCTGGCCAACATGGCATAACCCCATCTCTACTAAAAATACAAAAATTAGCCAGGAACGATAGTGTCTGTTTATAATTCCAGCTACTCAGAAGGCTGAGGCACAAGAATCGCTTGAACCTGGAGGTGAGTCTAGATTGCGCCATTGCATCCCAGCCTGGGTGGAGAGCGAGATTCTGTCTCTAAAATAAAACAAAACAAAACTTAATCCCAATTTGACAGTATGGAAAGGTAGGGCCTCCAAGAGGTAACTGGATTAATCCATTCATGAACTGATGAGTTATCATGAGAGTAGAACTGGTGGCTCTACAAAAGGAAGAGGTTGGGTGTGGCAGTGAGGGAACGTGTTCTCTTTCCAGGTCTACAAGGGGGCACAGTTTTAAGGGCAAGAAATTCCCAGCGCCATGCCCTCCTCCCATATCTCTCCATCTGGGAGATTTAATGGTTTATGTTTAAATTTTGTGGACACAGGAAGAAATTAAAAGTCAATCACTCCAGCGGAAGTTCTAAGGAAGTCCTTTCATTGGCCAGGGGTCTTACAGAAGTCCCCTTCTTCCACACCCCTTCGGACTCCATGCTTGGGTCCCCTTCCAAGAACACTCTCTCGTGGAAGCCTGCCTTCCCTCCTAAGCTCCCTCTCTCTCTCTATTCCCTCCCACTCAGTGCGGAAGCTGCTTTCCTCTCCCGGATTCCCTCTTTCTGGACTCTCTCACTCAGTGTGAGAGCAGCTTTCCTTCTCTGGTTTTCCCCTCTGGGAACCCTTCTCACTCAGTGTGAGAGCAGCTTTTCTTTCTCTCACTCAGTGTGAGAGTTTGCCGTTTCTCTTCCTTCTCCTTTTTCTCTCTCTAATAAACCACTTTCTAAAAACACTTTTGAGTCCGGCATTTATTGCACACTGTGCTGTGGTTCCCTCTCTCATTCTTGAGAGGGCAGGAGACCAAGAACCTGGAGAAACGTCCTCTCAGGGGAGCTGAGGGCACCCTGAACCCCAATATAACAGTAGCCCATGCCTGTGATCCCAGAACTTTGGGAGGCTAAAGGCAGGAGGATCAGTTGAGGCCAGAAGTTTGAGACCCGCCTGCTAGACATGGCAAGACCCACCTCTATGGAAAGCAAAACAAAATTAGCTGAGCATGGTGGTGTGCACCTACAGTCCCCGCTACTCAGGAGGCTGAGGTGGGAGAATCACTTGAGCCTCAGAGGTTGAAGCTACAGTGAGACATGACTGTGCCACTGCACTTCCAGCTTAGGCAACAGAATGACACCCCATTTCTTTAAAAACAAAAGAAGAAGAAGAAGAAAGGCCAGGCGCAGTGGTTCACGCCTGTAATCCCAGCACTTTGGGAGGCCAAGATAGGCGAATCACAAGGGCAACAGATCAAGACCATCCTGGCCAATATGGTGAAACCCTGTCTCTACTAAAAATACAAAAATTAGCCAGGTATGGTGGTGCATGCCTGTAGTTCCAGCTACTCAGGAGGCTGAGGCAGAAGAATCACTTGAACCCAGGAGGCAAAGGTTGCAGTGAGCAGAGATCACACCATTGCACTCCAGCCTGGGTGACTGAGCAAGACTCTGTCCCAAAAAAGAAAAGGAAGAATGACCTGAGCCAGTACATCAACATACTCAGCCCCCTTGC